GAATTTGTCCTTTCCCGCTGGCTGTCTCCACGAGCCCGCCGGGTCGCCCGTGAGAGAGTGGAGAGGGCGCTGGGTGCTGTCAACTGAACTAAGGGAACCAGAACGTGCTCAGAACGACCGAGTTTACGATTCTCTATAGAACCTAGGCCAAGTTTTGTCTGTCTTTGGCCCCGACCTCCCTGACCTTGGCCTCGACAGTCGGCATGGAGGTCAACAAGGGCGCTGCTGCCGCCATCTTCCTTGCTCTTCTGAGCGTCGGTTAGTGAATACTGTGTTTACCTTCTGTGTTATGTTGCCTTCCATTCCATTTCATTCCCGAGACATCAAGTTTTCTGGCATCTGTGCCATATACCTCTCCCCGAGGTATGTCCTTGTGTACCTTAGCAAGTTACACAATATGTAATTTGCTATCTGTGCTTGTGCCTTATAACCAAGGGCATTATTTCTTTCTTTATGATTATCATTACCATTCTTGTCTCTATCAGCCATCATCAGTATCAGTGTGCCTTATTCTCTTACGTTTTACTTTGTCATAAACGTATTGCTTCTCTTTATCTACCTATCTATCGATCTGCTTCTCTCTATATATAATAGATTATCTTGTGAGATATAGAGAGGGTGTAGACGGGAGGGGGGGGGGGCAAAGGGCCCACGGACGATCCTCCACAGCGGAAACTGAGTGACTTTTGAATTGGCGTCGTGTCCTGCGAAGAAAACTATGTGAAATTAAAGAGCGAGTTTAGTCGACGTAATGTATTTGTTTATAAGAAACATTAGCTGAAGCATATGGCAATAACTGAGGCTCCCGCCCCCAACCCCACTCAACTGCTTTTTGTAATTATATCTATAAGAATGCGTTGATTAACACCATCCTTATTGCTATTATTGTTGGCGTTGACATTACCATTGCCATTATCATAAAATCATCGTCATTTCCCTTACTATTTTCCCCAGAATCTAAGTAAATTGGCATTAATTGTACATCCTTGAATGGGTAAACCTAAACATTTTCTTTATATTTCTGATGCTTCCGAGTCACATGTATTAGCACGCATCTTAATATAGAGCCTCAACATTTCCTTAATTGGTTCTGCGACTGCACTTTCTTTTTTACATTTATTTGCAAGCTTGGTTGTCAGTAGTTCAAGTAGCGACTCATGTTTCAAGGCAGTTCTGTGCTCAGTTTTTAATATTTTAATTGACTGAAAAGTCGTTCAACAAATGCATTTGAGAATGATAAAGAAAATAGCACTCCAAAATTCTTCCAAATTTTTGGGAATTTAAGGTCTCCTTCCGACGTTTTTGCACTGAGCACTACACTCCAAAAGGTATCTCGTGCTGTAATTCTGCAGCATCCATAACCTCTATAAAAGAAATCGTTATATTCGCCATGTAACACTTCATAATGGTTGATATATTTTTCAAAGAAATTGAAACTATTCCTAATAATTCCCTGATTTTTTTCTTACGATTTCCTGAGATTTCTTGAAAAATGCTATTTCCCGAGTTCATCCTGATTTTCGCCAGACTTCCTTAAATGTGGAATCTGCATGGCAGGGTGTTAAGGACACCAGATAAGATGAGACGAACTGAACACACGAAGCAGACTGGGAGAGGGGACGATTTTTTTTTTCTTAAATACTCCCGTTGTCTTTGACATAGGTTGGTAGTCCTGCTTGCCCATAGGATTGTTGCCACGATTCTCGTTTTTTTTTATTATTATATTTTCTGAAAGGGGGGGGGGCGTCTTAAATTTAGATGAGTAGTAGTTAAACAGGATTAAGTTTAGCCATTCTAAACCAACAACTAATATAGCCAATTCGTATTTTGTTGAGATTCTAGTTATTCAATTATTAACTTTTATTCCTTATATAATATCCTATAAACAAACGTATTGGCTTAAACCGGAAAAGATCGTGAAAATAAAAATATGTATACGCTTTTATAATCTTATATCTGAACGAGGCTAATATATTGCTGTAACTTTTTTCTTGATTTCTTCTAGAAATAGTTTGAAGTGAATTCGTGATATTCATAATCTACATGGAAGTACTGATGGACATACATATGCAGTAACAGATGACTCATGGTATATGAAATATGTTGCTAGTATGAATTTTGATGTTATATAATGCTGCGTTCGGAACTGCTAGGCCTGCTCGTCCAGATCAGGGGCTAGATTTTCAAACGCGTAAAGGCGCTGGATCTCCTTAAGGCGCCTTAACATACTGCCGAGCAATCTTACATACACATACGCAGAGCAAGGGACATGCTATATTGGTTCGAGTTGAGGCGAAATACAGCCTCCAGCGCGGCTTAACTTAAGGCTCTTTTGAGAATCCAGGCCCTGTTGGACAAGATGTTTTGACCGTTCGGAACCTCTACTTTCTCGTCCTGGCTAAGTTGTCCATCTCGTCCTTCTCGCCCTCCAGCGAAGCAAGGCGAGCAGGACGAGATGACGTCACAAGAGCATTTGTATGTAAGCATTGACAGTTACAGGCAACTGCAAGATATTGATGGGTAATTTTATGGCCCTTTATTGATGTTATCAATGGATATTTTTGTGTTTGCCAGTTGCAGGTAAGTTAAATATGAATCAAAGAAGTTACAAAATCTATGCAGCGTGTAAAATAAAGACGTCGGTATGATAAATAAATGAATGTTTACATTCGAGCCGGTTACATTCTGGGCAGAAAGGATCTTAGAGGTTCTGAACGCGGCCTCGTTGTCCTGCTGGTCCTGGACAAGGTGTCTGGACGAGCAAGACGAGGAGTTCTGAACGCAGCATTATTTATAGTTGCGATACGAATAGGCATGAAACCAACATGCGATGCAGCCAACCTGATATACATGACATACAATTATAACCAATATGTTGGAGTTGATGTTCCTCTTTCTTCCTATGTGATTTTGATAAGTGAGACCTGCATCGTACCCCTCCCCCTCCCTCTCCCCTCCCCTCCCTCGCCGTTCAATCGATGGCAAGAATTACTATGAGCTTGGCATGTAAGCACATACATTTCGCCTGAAGTAATAACAATTGTATCTAGTATAGTTATAGTATGAGCTGTCTGTTTGACGCTAATTAGGAAATGATAATTTACTTTCTCTTGCTGTCCCTCGCCTCTGCCCAGTGGCCAGCCTGAAGAACCTCCAGCCGACCATCGTCACAGGCACCTTCGTCCAGCTGGAGTGGGAGGTAAGGCGCTTGTCACCTGTGTATACAGGAGGAATGAACTGATATATATATTTATGTGTGTGTGTAAGAGAGAGAGAGAAAGAGAGAGATAGTGTAAGATGTGTTAACCTCCTATATAGCATAAAGTATGCTATATCGCTCGACCACCTACTCACGCCTCGCCCTCGGGGCGTCATTTGTTCTGCTTCAGGGGTGACCCATTATCAGACCCGATTATTGATAATCTTGTTTTCGTGTTCTTGTTCTTGGCTGTACTCGTATTGCTCCTCCTTTCGGCCTCTTCTTCTTGGTCCTTGGTGAATCCTTGACGTCCACACATCCTCGAAAGTCTCGCATAGCTCCTCCTCGACTTCGGGTCGTCCAAACTTCTTCATAGTTCTCATCCAGGTGTTACTCGACGTCGTAATCATTCACACGTCCTCACAGGTCTCATCCAGGTCCTTCTCAGGTTCATGCTCACACAGACATATTGTAACCTGTGTCTGGGTCTACGGGCATCTGGGTAGGGGCATCCTTTCCGGTATCTGAGGGCAGCGTATTCCTGCGCTGGTGAGCTCCTGGAGTTTGACCGATCTACTGGCGTCCAGGCAAGTGGTGCTCTTCCACAGCATCCTGGGGCCTGCTCTGACGAGTTCCTGGTTCTCTGTTGTATCTACAGGCGTCCTGGCAGGCGGACCCCTTCCATTTCATCCAGGAGTGGCTTAATACCTCCACTAACGACTCCTGGTCCTCAGGCCTGCGACTATCTTCTGGCATTCTAAGGTGACTGTGCTGCAGTTAGGCCTCCTTCGGTTCCGTGTCACATATCCACGGTCCATTTTATGCATTTTTGAACCAGATCGTACATGTAAGGGCCAAGATAGTAAGAGAAAAGATGTTCAAGTGCTACTAGCCGATGTTTTTATACTAATTTGCAGTTTTTTTAATGTCGTTATTTCATTATTTTTTTCACTTTTGTATTTTTCAAGAAGAAAATAAGTGAGGGAGATGGGATTAGCGACCCTCACGGACCTTCTTGAGCTACAAACCGTCTCAGATAGATATGAGAATAGATAAGGGAAATGACAATGGCAATCTGCGAGGATTTACTTGAACCAATTGTCATTTCATAGATAAAGAAAAAATATGTAAATGAGCATTGTGTATCATTTTCACTAATCTCGACTGGCAACGGCCACAAGGCAAAAGAGATAGCCTGTAATTACGACACAACAAATCCTATAAATAAAGATTTGTATATATTTGCAGTGTCTGTTGTCTGCGTTGATGAGTGAGTGTGTGTATGTAAATATGGGTATGAAAATGTGAAGAGAGAGTGAGCTCACACGAAGAATGAATCACAATCAAAAATATTAATGTTCATTTTAACAACAAATGTTATAATCATTATGTTAATATAGGTTATTTCATCTACCACATTGAACTCGACATAAAACAATATGTGATGGAACGTACGCAATTATGAATGGTGATATAAAAATTCCTTGCAAGCTTCCGCAATGCAACTTCCCCCCTCAGAAATGTTTTTACGTTATCCCCATTTAATTTAATCATAATTACATATTCGCTACAAAATCTGATAGACTGAGGTAATCATTTCTCGCTTACGCATGTTCAGAGTACAGTAGACTTCATCGACGGTGGGGTTTCCTTTTTAACCCAATGACCGACCGAAATTAAGTGAATTGTAACGAGACATATTTCTATCATTATGTCTCTACTCTACAATTGGTGATGGATGCGCGCGGCTATCTAGCTCACGAATCACACGACTGCCGGGATTTCCCGAACATATAAGCGG